ACAATTTTTTTTACTTTAATTTTATCATTATATATTCACTTTAGTTAACTATCTAATAATAAAAATTTTGTTTATCTTTTTTTAAAGATATTATAAATAAATATAAATGGTATTTTTAAATTCTTAATTTAAAAAATTATAAAATAATAATTATTTAAAAACAATAAAATAATAAATTATCATAAACACTAAGAGTAAGAAAGATATAATATATTTGGATTGAGAAGAATTGAGAAGAGAAAAGGTGAGGAAAAACAATTTTATTTGATTACTAATAATAATTAGAGAAAAAGGGAAAGGAAAAAAATTTTTACTTTATTTTTAAAATTTAACTATTTATAAGGGAAATGAATGGAAAAAAGTTTTTTTACATCTACGTTCCCTTTAACCAAACATAGAATTAGAGTTTGACTTCTCCTTGCGTAGACAATCTGGTTTTATTAGGTGGAGCTAACGTGGAAAGTGGCTAACAGGTCCATTATCGGTGCCGCTTCACCAATACCACATCTTGGTTTTTGGTGTCCAACAAACCAAATAATACAAAATCTGCCAACCATGTCTTTGCTTTTCCCAATTGTCGGTTGCAGTGAATCTGATACTACAACCAATGTAATGTATGTATTTCACAGGTTAATTACTAGGTTCATTTAGGTGTAGTTGTGCACAGAGATTTTATGTTAAATTTTGTACTAATACATTAGGATTTTGGAATCTAATGGTGTGGGGCTCGAGTCAAGCTATTCCTTGTTTAATGTTTATCACTCTGTTTTAAGTAGGGGTGGGTAAAAAAATTTGTAATATATAATTGGTAGAGAAGGTTTGATTGAGTTTTAAATTTATTTGAATAAAAATTAAATCAAACTAATTTTAAAAGATCTGAATTTTGGTTATTAAATCTAAAAGTTAAAAATTTAATGACTATGATAAGTATAATTTAAAAATCTAGACTAAAATTTTTTTTATATAAATTATTTAATGAATTTTAAATTTTTTAAAGATTTTCTAACTATTTGTTACCACATTATTTTTTTGTTTAGATAATTTTTAATTTTTTAGTGATTAAAATTAATAAAAATATAAAAATAAAATCTTAATTAAAAACTAAAATGGGTTCAAAAAGTTACTCTAAAAATATAATCAAAACCAATAAAATTTATCTTTTACAATTTAATTAATAACTATTAAAATTTAAAAGTCAAAATTTTAATTAATTAATAATTTAATTTTAATTATAACCAAAATCAAACCATACCCCTCTAATTTTTATGTGTTTGGCTTGACTAGCAGTCCCACTGTCCATTTCATGAACTGAAAGGAGGGCACTCTGCTACCAATTAATTATTATTTTTAAGTAATTGAGGGGAGGTGGAGAAACAACGATTACAAAGGAAAGGATGAGGTGTGATTCTAACTTTTGTGATTGCATGGAAACAATGTCATCGTAGTCGGGGTATTTGGCTGTTATCACACCTTTTTTTTTTGTTGGTAAGGCTGTTATCAATTATAATCCACAACAAATTCCTTTTAATTTTTGAGAACAAGAACTTTTGTTTTTTTTGGTAGGGTTGTTATCAATTATTATCCACAACTAATTCCTTTTAATTTTTGGGAACAAGAACTTTTCTTTTTTTTTGGTAAGGTCCTTATCAATTATTATCCACAACAAATTCCTTTTAATTTTTGAGAACGAGAACTTTATTTCTCCTTACCATTAGGTATACCATATTACTAGGTAAAGATTGATCGATTAATTTAATATAAAATATTTAAGAATATCTCAGTAGTTTAGTTGTCACCATCTCAATTTTTTATATAAATTTAGAGGTATAAGATTTGAGTACCACTTCAATGTTTAAAAAAATAATATAAAATATTTATTATT